CATCCCTTCTACCTCCACCTGCACCCTCCTCTTCCTGTTCAATCCTCCCTCCTCCCTCCACCGTGCTCATTTCTCCTTACTCCCTTCTCTGCTCCTCCTACGTGGGGCGTTTCGCGACAACGACGACGACGACGACGAGAACGATGACCGCGACGGCGACAACGAGGACGACGACGACCGCGACGACGACGACGAGGACGATGACCACGACGGCGACCAGCGACGACGACTAGCGACGACGACGACCGACGACGACGACGCCGACCACGACGACGACGGCGACGACGACAACGAGACGACGACGACAATCGACGCCGACGAGGAACGACGACGACGAACGAGGACGACGATTACGACGACGAGATGACGAAGGTTCGAAGATCGAACCTCGAAGTGCGAAGCTTCGAAATTCAAACTTCGATCTTCGAACTCCGAACTTCAAACTTCGAACTGCGAACTTCGATGGGGTGCCAGGGATGCAATGGGATGGAGGGAAAAATGGGAAGGGGAGAGCGAGGAAGCGGGAGGGGAAGTTGGAGGAGAACGAACAGGCGTGGAGCGACGAGGAACGGGCGGCGAGGGGCCGACGTCGAGGGCGGCGGGATGGGGGGGCAGGGGGGAGAGGGGAGACTTCAGAACGAAGATCGCGCCACGGCGCCTGCGCGCGCGCTCCCGATCTCGGCGGCCGACGCGCGCGCCCCCGCCGAAATGCAACGCGCCCTTCATTCGAGCCCCGCTGCTGCGGAGCCACCTACTCCGCAACCAAATCGCCTGGGGAGCTGTTCGGTCCCCAAACTACTGGTTTGCCAGCCGCTGCTGCGGACGCCGAGGGCCCGGTGCTGGACGCCGCGGCCCCGCTGATGCGGGGCCCCTGAGAAGGCGTCGGCCTCCCCTTCTCTCTGGCGGCGTCGAACTTGACCTTGCGCTCCACACCGAGGTCCTTGTGCCAGCGATAGGTTCCTGGCCCGTCGCTCCCGCCCAAACCCGCGGCTGGTGGCCTCGCCGTGTCCGCGTGGGGCATGAGGGGCAGAGCTTCGACCTTCCTGTCGCCCCAGTGCGGGTGTAAGCGGACGCCTGTCCCGTCGTCGCGGTGCAACGCGAAATCCCACATCGGCAGCTTCACTTTCACCCGCTGCCCCGCGAACTGTCGCGCGCGCACAATACTCTGGCGCATGTGGTCGTAGCTGTTTGGCCGGGCTTCGAGGGGGCAGCCGATCAGAGCCCCGCTGCTGCGGGGCCCCCCCGCGACCTCCCTGATATCTTCCTCCCTGAGCGTCGCCACCATCTCTTGCCACCGCCAAGGGACTTCCTCGTCGCTTCTGTGGTCGCAAACAGCGACCACGGTGGGCTCCGCATTGTCAAACCACTTGGCTTCTGACTCGAACGGGGCAGTTGGGTCTTCATTCAGGTGGCGCCACCATTTCAACGCTTGGTTGTGTTGCTTAAACGAAGTGCCGAGCCTCTCTTCATAACTCAAAAAATAATTAAAATCAAACTTCTCAAAATCCTGGGGCCCGCGCGCCGCCGCCGCTGCGGTGGCGCGGGGCTCCGGCGCCGCAGGCGCGGCTCGGGATCCCGACCCCTCTCCTGCAACTGCGCCCCCAGGTTCCGGTGAGTTTCGGAGGGCAGCCCTCGCGAAATTATCGAATTCGGGCATGCCGAGACCAGGGGCGCGGGGGCTCACAACGCTAAGCGCGGCGAAGCGAGACGGCCGTTGAGGCGAGACCGCCGCCGCTGCTGAGGCGGCAGGGCCGTCGCGCCATTTGGCGTCCTCCGTTGGCGTGTTCCCGTCTTGTCGCCACTCTCTCCAACCCCACGCTGACCAATCATGGCCGTCCTCCCAGCCACGCCAGCCGCTGCTGCGGCTATCCCACCATCCTTCCGCGCCACCCCATGTGTATCCGCCTGCATCGCCCATTGCAAGACGATGGCGCAGGCAAGCGTTAGGCCGCGACGGGCCCAGCTGCACCGTTGCTCGCGGGCGATCCCACGGGCGCGGGATTGTTTGAGCATAGCGGCGAGGGACGACGCGATGTGATTGGACGGCAGAGAACTTGAAAAGAAGGGGGGTTGGAAACGGAAGAACGGAGTGGGCGAATAGCGGAAATTGAACCAGAGGGGGGAGAAAAAAGAGCGGAAGAGAATGAGGACATGCAGACGAAGGAGAGTGACGAGGTAGATGGCGGGGCAGAACGGCAACGTAGGATAATGTAGTGGAAATTGTGAAAAGGACGCATGGAAAAACACGACGAGGATCACAGACGCAAAGATGATGAACGCAGTGGTAGCATGACATATCCGAAATCAAGAAGCAGGATGAGGAGGAACGGGATGACGAGCAACTCTGTCACAGAGGGCCTCCAAACGCACCCCCTCTGTCACAGAGGGCCTCCGAACGCACCCCCTCTGTCACAGAGGGCCTCCAAACGCACCCCCTCTGTCACAGAGGGGCAACATGATCACTTTAATGCGGCTTCTGGATTAGTGCAGCGCGCGCCACAGGAGTGATTCGGGGCTCTGACATGAGCCGACGTCCACGATCGCGTGCTCGCGCGCGGCGCCCCCCCCGGCAACCCGCTCTCCGCGGCGGGCGGGCGCCGCCGCTCGGCGGCTCCGGCACCTCGCTCGTCGCGGCGCGCCGTTCGTGCCGGGAGCAATGCGGTCGCGACTAAGCTGATTGACCCCGTCTCTCACGCGGTCGAGTCTCGGGTCGGGCGAAAGGGGGGGTAGCAAAGGGGGGGGTTGAGAATCAGCTCGCGTAACTGATTTTCCCGGCGCCTCCCGGCGCCGGGGCGCGCCCATGTGTCGAGGAACCCAGACATCCGACGTCTCGATTTTTTCGAGACACGGGCCCCCAACCTCCCGACCACTTCCCCGGGACCGGTTTTTCATCCCGAGTCGTTGTTTTGACGGTCCCGAGGCCCGGCGAGGGCCTCCAGAGGCCGAAAACGACGAAAAACCTTTGTCTCGATTTTTTCGAGACGCCCGAGGTCTGGGTGTCGAGGAATGGGCCCCTCGGTGGGGCCGAAACCAGCCGCATGCAGCAGATTTCGTAACCCCCCCTGTCCCAATCCCCCCCTTGCCGTCCGGCCCGCGAGTCGGGCCGTCGTGGCCTTGGAACCGACCCCGTGGGGTCTACGGATGTCGTCGTCGTCGTCGTCGTCGTCGTCGTCGTCGTCGTCGTCGTCGCGTGCGCGCCCCAGCTGGAGCGTTCAGTCTGCCTTGCTCGGAGCCCGGTTCGGCGGGGCGCGGCCTCTGGCGAAGGGCTGCGGCCGCCCTCTCGAGCCCCTCTCGGCTTCGGCGCCCGTGCCGGCCCCTCGTTTGGGCCCTTTCTCGGGGTGGGCCTCGTGTCCTTCTGTAGAGCGCACTTTTTGATTCGCGGTCATAACGGTCATTATGGGGGGGGAGGGGGGGATAAGGGAGGGGGCATAACGTAGCACCCCACCCGCTCCCCCCAGACTGTGGTGCCGGACGCACTGCGGCAGTGCCGGGGACGCACTGGGGGGGAGCGTTACGTTATGGGGGGGGGAGGCGGAGAGGGTTTGGGGCATACCGCGCGTTATGGCCCAGAGGGTAAAAACAACACTCTCGTAGAGGGCGTGGCATGCCTCAGACTGCTGTTGCCGGGAACTTGGCTCCGAAATGCACGACTCTGACTAACTGAATGTTCCACCCCGCTTATAACTGAGGTATTCCGTGACATACGCATCTTGCCGCCATTGCAATGCCTGATCACACCAGAGACTGCTTCTAGTGACCACCAGATTGTCTGGATCGGATCAAGCATACACCTGTTGTTTGTTAGATTGCTGAACGATTCCTCCAGTAGAGGAAAAAACGGTGTAATGCGGATTTATTGGATCGGCGCTGGACCCCCCTTCCTGTCGCGCGGAGCGCGCCAGGAGCGGCGCCAGAGGCGCCGCCAGGGGGGTCCACCGCAGATCCAACAAATCCGCGCGGAGCTCCGAATAGTTCTGTTTATGCAACTCGTTCTTCGATTCTCGGGGTGGGCCTCGCATCCCTCTGCAAATTGGCAAAGGCGGGTCTGCCATGGAGGGAGCCAGGAGCCGCATGGCATTCTGGCCAGACCGCGAGCAAGCACATCAACAGGAGCGCGGTTTCCTGTCGGAAGGTTATCTACGCAAGTGCGGGGCCCCTAGAGGCAACAGGGGCAGCAGGGCCGGAGAGCGGGGGCCGCAGTGAGGGGGAGCTTCAGGGGGGGACCGGCGCAAGGGGGGGGAACATCGAGCCTGAATCGGCGGTACGTCCCCGATAGATCGGCGACAGGCCCCCGCTGGCGAAATCGCACGCTCCTGGGGGGGCTGGGCGATCCGGCCCCCATCTGCGATGAGTGGCCGATTGCGGGTCGATGCACCCGCCCACCCCTAGGGCTCCCAACTTCGCGCTTCGCGCTGCGCGAAGCGCGAATAACTTCGCGCTCTCGCGCCGCCCTCCCAAAGGGAGAATAGGAGGACGAGGAGGAGGGGGAGAAGGAACGAGGACCGCGAAGCGCGAAGCGCGAATAACTTCGCGCCCTCGGGGGAGCCCTTGCCAAGGGGGCCACAGGCCACTAGCCACTAGCCTCCGGTCGCAAAGTCGAGGTTCGAGACCGCTCGACACACGAGGGTCACGAGGAACCACGGGGTAACGAGCAAGATGTTCCCCGCCGTTCACCCTTACTCCTTGGTGCTGACCTTGCGGATTCAGTCGTTTGTGTGGGGCCAACGGATATTCTCCAATCGCTCCGAACTGGCTCGAGCCAAAGACGGCACGCTTCAACAAAGATGCTCGAACGGCGTATCATCAACGACCCCTACGGCAAGCAAACGCTGTTGAGCAATCCAGCTCGTTCTGCAAAACGCATAGGTGTCCTGATTCGCTCCCGAACTATAGCGCGCATGCGAAATATTGACGACAGGAAGGCACTGCAGGAATGCACGCCTGGCCTCGAAAGCTTGAGCTTCTTGTCCTTGTCCATCCGGTCGTACGCCTTGCACCAGTCAGTCAACGAGATCCGCCGTCCCTCCCTCGGGTCAGACACGGTTAACGTGATAGCTTGACCTCTAGGTGCTCGGATGTTGGGGTACAGTGAACACGTGCAGTAAGGATGCGCGATAAGGATGCAAGGGCCTTGGACGCACAATTCGAAGCTCTTCGAGCGGGGCGCGGCCAACGAACGTGGCGAAGGATGGACCGAGGGGGCAAGGATGCAAGGGTACCCTTGGGAAGGCTGCCCCTCCTCACTATGCGGGTTGACTGTATACCCATTGGTCGTAAAAAGTGGTGAGGAGCATGAAGCAGGAATGCGTTGAAGATAGAGTGGGCTTCCGGCCGCCACCTGACGACGAAGGAAGAGGGAAACGCGCCCGATGATGGAAGCAAGAAGGCTCCTAGAGCACAGTGGGATCTGGGAGTCCGCAAAAGCACCTGCGTTCACTGACCCAGCGGTACTCGGATGCGATCAGAGAGGGAGCGGCAGTGGGACCGAGTGAAAAAAAGGTAAATTGCGGCACAAAGTAGGGGCACGACAAGGCGACGCCGCCACGAGGCGCCAGGGAGGGTCCTCCCCGTGATGCGTCTCCCCCCCCCCTCCCCCTCGCCCGAGGAGTCCCCCGTGTCCAGCTGGGAGGGGCGTCGTGGACCCCCATCGCAGGAGCTGCCCCCCCTGGCGGTGGTGGTGGCGCTGCTGCCTCGCCTTCTGGAGCGCACGCTCACACGGATTGGGGATCCGTGGACCTGGCGCCCCCGAGACCTGAGGCCAATGCCGCCGAATCTGGCAACGGACGGCGCCGATCCTGCGCGAAACGACGGGACGCGCCGCGAAGCCAAACGCCCTGAGACATGTCTGTGCTTCACTGAAGACGGATGCGAGGCGGGGACTTATCCACAACATCTTCGGGGACGACGACAGGTGGCGTGTATGGATGTGTTTGCCCCCCCCCCCCCCCTCAGGCCCACATATGACCATGTCTGCCGCCTGCCGAGGTCCATGAAGATCGACCCCCCAGGCGGTGGTGTTTTATGGACAAATCCGCGCCTCGGAACAGGGTTGGCGGTGGACGGGCTCGACGTGGCATTCTGGAGGACTCCGCCTCGGCGGGTGCCTGGCAGCCGCCTGACTCCTCCGCGCAGGCGGCCCCAGAGGATCGCAAGATTCGGACCAAGTTACGACAATCAAGCCAGAATATCAAAGCACGTCGATACATGTTTGTTGCCAGTGTCGGGGTGACGGTTCGCCCCTTGCGTGGTTCTGCTGGGCCAAACTGACTGCTGACGACGTGCATGCAAAAGGGTATGCGGGGCCCGACATGGGATCCTCATCCAATGTCGCCCCGTGTCTGGCCCTCCCCAGAAGTCCAACACTTCCGCTCCACCCCCCTCAGAGGAACAACACATTGCAGAAGCAGAAGCTTCCAGAGGTCCGAGCGGATATCTTGGATCTTCGGTGAACCCCCTCTCATCCCTGGCGCGCGAAGCGCGCCAAGGTCGGCGCCAGATGCGCCGCCAGGGAGGGCAGCTCAGATCAAAGAAATCTGCGCCGACCTGCGAAAAGCTGTGTATGCAGTTGTTGCTTCTTAGACTCCTCCGCCCATCCCTCTCCTCGTCTCCTTCTCTTTTCTCTCCGGCCCCCCCGGTCTCCCTCGCGGATGGGACACGTTGCGTCCACGATGAGGTGGCCCAAGGGTCAACCCAGAAAGGATCCACCTGAAGAAGAAAAAACGGCAGAAACATAAACTTTTGGCGCTCCGCGCGGATCTCTTGGATCTGCGCTGGACCCCCCCCCTCCCTGCCGCGTGGAGCGCGCCAGGGGCGGCGCCCGAGGCGCCGCCGGGGGGGGCCCAGCACGGATCCCCAAAAATCTGCGCGGTGCGCCAAAAAAATATGTTTATGCCGTATGCCTTTTTTTCTTCTTCGACCACCAAGTCCACCCCGGGGGCTGCCAACGCTGATTGACGCGGTATCGGACTGCACTTGCCGCCAGGACCGCCAGGAGCGAAGTTGCGGGGCGTCCAAGAGGGGGACTCGCGTAATCATCATGCTGCGAGACACAGGCGCGGCCGAGGGGGGGTCCAAAGGACGGATTGAAACCCGCTGACCTCCGCTTGCCGGGGGTGAGAAGGCGTGTGACATGATTGGCTGTCCCCCTCCCGCAGGGTCCAACATCTCGTTCAAGGGGGGGGGGAAGGGGGGGGGGAGAAGGTTTGGGGGGGTATCTAGGCTCCTCGGCGCACCCCGGGAGACTCTTGAGTTTCCAACGAAGACTTTCCAAGACGGTCCCGAATCGCGGAACGATTGGCCCAAGACGCCTACGATAGCTCCAAGACGCCTATAGACGGACGGCTTCGAGACGCCCCAAGAGCCTTTCCAAGACGGCCCCGAGAGGCAAGCACCAATGGTTTTCCTCAGGCTTTGACATTGTTCTGGGGTTATCGTCTTCTCGAATAGCCGACGCTACAAAGACGGCCCAAGAGGCCCCGTAGACCGCTCCAAAACTGCCCAAGAGGCCCCTACGAAGGCCCCAGGACGGCCCAAGAGGGATCCAAGAAGGCCAACAAAAAGGCACCGAAGACGGCCAAATAAAGCCCCAAGAGGGCCCCAAGAGGGGCGAAGAGGGAGAACACGAACATAACATCATCTTTCCGCCTCCAAAAGACTCAAGCGGCACCAAGGATGCCCCCAATGAGCCCCAAGAGGCGCCCCAGAGGCCCAAAAGAGGCCCCAAGGCGGCCCTCAATACGCTTCAAAACTGCCTCCAAACGGCCCAACCAAACCCCCAAATGGTGCCCCAGAAACCCACGACGCCTCCACCGTGGGCTCCACGCCTCTTCGTGGGGCCAGCGGAACGGCGCAAGCCTCTTGAATACCAAGATGGGGTCACGATGGTCGGGCCGATCTTATGGCCCCAGCCCTGGTCTCCCCCCTCCGGCCATCCCCTAGGGCTCCCAACTTCGCGCTTCGCGCTGCGCGAAGCGCGAAGCGCGAATAACTTCGCGCTCTCGCGCCGCCCTCCCAAAGGGAGAATAGGAGGACGAGGAGGAGGGGGAGAAGGAACGAGGACCGCGAAGCGCGAATAACTTCGCGCCCTCGAGGGAGCCCTTGCATCCCCCACCTCGACGCCTGGTGGTTTCGGCTCATAGCTCGTACCTCCGTGCGCCGTTTGGGCCGGTCCGAGCACCCGCGGAAAGCCCTCGACGAGGCGCAGCTGCTGGCAAGCATCCCGAGGCGAGAAAACCTCCAAGAACCAACGAAAACTGCATCCTCTCGCGGAATCACCCATCCCTTGCCGCCCCCGAAAGGATGGAAGGGTAAGAGAAACGCACCACTTGGCCCCCAATGAATTGCCGCAAGGCGACCGTATCACACCCTTGCGCCTGGTGTCGATGGCGTCGAGGAGAGCGCCGTGGCCACCAGTACCCGTAAACTCCTCCCTCGAGATGAAGCCGTTGGTGTCCTCCGAGGCACATGAAGGGCTCCGATCGGACACGCGCTAACACGGATTTGGGAACCGTGGATCTGGCTGGCGCGTGTGTCGAGACGTGAGACCAATGCCGCCTGATTTGGCAACGGAGCGCGCCGATTTTGCGCAGAAGCAAGGCCCGCCGCTAATCCACGCGCCCCAATGCATACGGCGGGGGACTAGGTCAGCGGGGGAGAAATCGAACTGAAATCGGCAATGCATCCCGGACAGATCGGCGATGGGCCCCCGATAGCGAAACCGCACGTTCCTGGGCGGGCTGGGGTGGGCTACCGGGCCGCTATCGACGATCAATGGGTGATTTGGGGTCGATGCGTCCCCACCTGAGACTTCCCCCCCAATAATCCTCGTCGCCTGACTTTCGGGTCATGACTCGGGTCTCCAGCGGCCGTTCCGCACGATCCGGGCACCTCAGGTCGTCGTCGTTGCCGTCGTCGTCGTCGCCGTCGGGAGAGGAGGAGGAGGAGGAGGAGGAGGAGGAGGAGGAGGAGGAGGACGAGGAGGAGGAGGAGGCACACCTGCGGGAGAGCACCCCGAGGCTGGAGCACGTCCAAAGACCTCGAGTCTCGAGCCTTGGGAACGCCACCCGCCCTGAGCCCATCCCTATCCCCGAATAGCGTTGCCCACTAGTCCCCAAAGAGAACGTTTGGTGCCACTCTGCCCATCCTCCTCCTCCTCCTCCTCCTCGTCCTCCTCGTCCTCCTCGTCCTCCTCCTCCTCCTCGTCCTCCTGGTCCTCCTCCTCCTCCTCCTCGTCCTTCCCCCCTCCTCCTCCTCCTCCTCCTCCCCCTCCTCCTCCTCCTCCTCCTCCTCCTCCTCCTCCTTCCTCTTCACCCCTGCTCTCCTCCTTCCCGTCGTCGTCCTCCCTCCTCTTACTCCTCCTCCTCATCCTCCTCCTCCTCTTCACCCTGTTCTCCTCCTTCCCGTCGTCGTCCTCCCTCCTCTTCCTCCTCCTCCTCCTTTTCCTCCTCCTGCTCCTGCTCCTCCCCTTCCCCCTCCTCCTCCTCCTGCTCCTCCTCCTCTTCCTCCTCCTCGTCCTCCTCCTCCTCCTCGTCGTCTCCTTCTCCTTCTCCTCCTCCTCCTCCTCCTCCTCCTCCTCCGCCTCCCCCTGCCTCCCTCCATCCCTCTTCCTCCGCATACCCCTGCTGGTGCTCCCCTTCTCCCCCCCCAACCTACCCCTCGTCCCCTCTCCCTCCCGCCTCGCCCTCTTTCCCCTCTTCATCCTCCTCGTCCTCGTCCTCCTTCTCCTCCTATCCCTCCATCCCGTCATCCCTCCTCGTCCTCGTCCTCGTCCTCGTCATCCTCCTCCTGCTCCTCGTCCTCCTCCTCCTCCTCCTCCTCCCCTCTCCCTCCCTACTCGCCCTCTTCATCCTCTTCGTCCTCCTCCTCCTCCTGCCCCCCTCCATCACTTTTCCTGATGAGTAGTTTATCCCTGCCGCCAACCCAGACGTGTCGGCAGGGCGGGCTGGGCGGGCCGCCCGAGACTTCCCCGCCAGTCATGATCGTGACATGGAAATCTGCAGCGGTTTCAGAGATGGAGGCGGGGTCCTTTGCGACACGTGGCGTTCGCCTTCGCACCACGCGCACCCGTCTTACGATGTTGCACCAGTGCCAAGGATTGAGGGCGGGCCCCTTCCAACATGCGGCTCTCGCCCTGGTGACGCACAGGCTCGCCGAACACATTGGCAACAACTTCAAAGATGGAGGACATTTCCGTTTGAAAACGCGGCTCTCGCCCTGGTGACGCACAGACTCGTCTTACACATTGGCAACAAATTCAAAGATGGAGGAACTTTCCGTTTGAAAACGCGGCTCTCGGAATGCGGGTCCTTTTTCAAAGTGTGGCTCTCGCCTTAGCGCCGCGCTCATTCGTCTTGCACGTTTGCAACAATTGACGGAGCACGTTTCCTTTCAGCATGTGGATCTCGTCTGAGCGCCGTGCGCATCTGTGCTAAGATCTGCAGACGTTTCAAGGCTTCGTAGGGTTGAAGTCCCAGGGACGGTTTTCTGGCAAGAGTTGGACAATCAGAACGCAACAATGATGTTGATTTGCGGTGAAGTCACAAGACTGGAACGAATTAGGGTTGCGAGGACGCAACCGTCGCCCAGGACGCAACCGTCGCAGTGATTCGCTGCGCTGAAGTCCCAATAATGGCTCTTGGGCGCAATGGTGGATTCTCAAACGATTGCCATTAAATGGAACACTTCCCGCAATGCAAATACGTCATGTCTGCTGGGAGCCTGTGAAGAGGAAACTTGGGGGGGTCATTGCAACATCGTTGATGGGTGTTGGGTTTGCACTGGTCCCTCCTCCTCCTCCTCCTCCTCCTCTTCCTCCTCCCCCTCGTCCTCCCACTCCTGACTCCTCTTCCTCCCACTCCCTCACCCCTTACTCCTCCCCCTCCCTCGATCCCCCTTCTTCCTCCCTCCTCCCCCTCCTCCCCTCCCTCACCTCTTACTCCTATTCCTCCCCCTCATCATCCCCCTCTTCATCCCCCTCTTCCTCCCCCTCCTCATCTGCTTTCTCCCCCTCCCCATCTCTCTCCTCCTACTCCTCCTCCGTCATCCTTCTCCTCACTCCTTCTCCCCAGCCCCCAGCCCTGCCTGATTTCTGTTCCGGAGGACCTGTCACAAGTGCTCTAGACTGTAGTCTTTGTCCGCAGGCGGGAAAAGTCCCAGCTGGACCCCGCCCTGAGCCCCGTAGTGGTGGCGAATCGGGCTCCAAATGAGCGAGCGAGGTCAGGCTGGTGGATGGCGCCACCACCGCCTGGGCCGAACATCATATGATGGGCCCCTCTACCAGCTGCGCGTCAGGTGGAGAGGTAGTGTCTGAACGCAGTAGCTCAGTACCTCCACCCCCTCCAAACCTAAACTATGTGAATACTACTCTCCTCTGTCCCCCGGATATGTCCTGAGAGTATTTCCCCCCCATCCGCGTTGTTTGTTACATTCAGGATTCGCGAGACCTAGCTTTGTCATTTTTCACCAAAAAATGGCTCTCGCTGCGAGAATGTATACAACCCGAATGTTCACGTTTGTTCAAAATGTGTTCTCGCTGCAGCGTGGGCGTTCAGAATGGCGCTCACGCCCCAGCGTGGGCCACTGGTGCCGCAAGCCTCACAAGTTTCACAGGTCCCACAGGTGTCGCAAATGTCGCATGCCCTACAGGTCCCAAAGGTCCGACAGGTCCCGCATGCCCCACAGGTTTGCAGGTGTCGCATGTCTCACAGGTCCCACAAAGGTCTCACAATTCTCACAAATCCTGGAAGTCCCGCCGGTGCCCCAGGTCCCACAAGTGTCGCAAATCTCACAGGTCTCACAGCTTCCAGAGGGCCCACAAGTCCCGCAAGTTCCCCAGGTCTCACAGGTGTCGCAGGTCTCCCATTCCCTACAAGCCACAGAATTCCACCACGTCGCACAGGTCCCACACGTTTCCCTTTTCCGACTGCGCGTAGCACGATGGGCTCTCTTGTGGAAGTCCAGGTCGGGTATGACACGCGTCCGCGGCTAGAGCAAATAGCAGCGCAAAGGGAAAGACGGGAGGGAGGGATATGATGTCAGATGTGGCGCGGGCGCACCGAGCTTCGTCCCCCTCCCTCTCTCCCCTTCTCTCCCTCGCCGTCCTCCTCCTCCTCCTCCTCCTCCTCGTCCTCCTCCTCCTCGTCCTCCTCCTCCTCCTCCTCCTCCTCCGCCTCCTACCAGCGCGCCGTCCTGGTCCACGAACTTGAACGCCGCGACCCACCTGCGACGGGCGGCGCTCCGTCAACATCCCCCCGGGGCCCGCCGCGGGACTGGCGGGGACGGGGCGGGAAGCCGGGAGCCTGTTTTTCTTTGGATTCGGGCAAGTTTACTTGCATGGACGGGGGGGGGGCTGAGTCTGAAGCACGCCGAAAACAATTCGACGTGCGGAAATCACGCAAGTCGAAAGGCGCTTGCACGCTCGTGTTCGACTGAAGAGGGGCGAGGGGGGGGGTGTGGGGGGCGAACGCCATGCAAGTAAGCTTGCCTGGATATAAAGAAAAACAGGCTCCAGAGGACGACCCTCGGGCACCGGAGGCAGGCGGGGCGCCGCTTGAGCTAGGGCTCCCAACTTCGCGCTTCGCGCTCGCGCGCAATCTCGCGCCGCCCTCCCAAAGGGAGAATAGGAGGACGAGGAGGAGGGGGAGAAGGAACGAGGACCGCGAAGCGCGAATAACTTCGCGCCCTCGAGGGAGCCCTTGCTTGGCAGGGGGGCCCCCGCCGCGTGGGAAGCCTCGTTGGCGCGGCCGCGGCAGCCGCGCGACGCCGCGGCGCCCACGCCTCGCCTCCCCGTCGTCGCGCCGCCGCCCGCGCCCCTGCGAGGGGGGCGCCCTGGCGCTGCCGCCCTGGAGAGGGGCTCCCCTCTCCAACCGACGCCGCGGCGCGCGAGACGCGACCGTCTGCGCGACCCTGGTGGTGACCTGGGTCTCCCCTCCCCTTCCGTCGCGCTCCCCTTCATTGAAGGGGCCCTGGGACACGCAAATAAATACACGCAAATAAACATATCCCCCATATTTTTCCATATTTTCTGGGTTTTTGTCTTCCCCCTCACGTCCCATATTTTCCTATATTTTCCTGGGAGTGGACGATTAATTGTGTCTGTGTGTTTTTTCTCCTCCTGATTCATCCCCTCTCCCTCCACCCTGCGGCTGCAGGCCACTCGAGGTCCGCATGTGATGCCACCAGAGCCTTGCACCTCGAACCCATGGTCGCAGCACAGACGTAGCCGCACCGTTTTGCTCACCCGGATGCCGACTAGAAACGATGCCATCCAATCGGCCGCGTCCGCGAAGAGCACGATAACGAGGGGCACGAAGGAGACGACGAACACAAAACGAGGAACACGAAAAAGACAAAACGAGGAGCCAGGACGACGACGAGGAGCACGACGAAGACAAAACCAACGCTGCCGTCCAATCGGCCTGGCCCGCGAGGACGGCGACGAGGAGCGCGAGGGCGATGCAGCGAACGAGGGGAGGCCGAAGACGGACAGGGCGACGAGGATGACGTGGATGGCCAGGGCGGGGAGGGTGAAGAAACGCAGGATGGAGGCCCCGGCCTCCAAGGTCTTCACGCGTTCAATACCCCATCGGTCGGAAGAGGCAGGTAGAAACATGAAGTAGGAAGGCGCTGAAAGTGGATTGGCTTCCGTCCGCCCCCTAAGGACGACGGAGAAAGGTGGAACCACTCGACCATTGAAGTTGGAAGAGGCGGAGGCGGAGGCGGAGGAGGAGGAGGAGGAGGAGGAGATTGGAATCTGGGAATCCAAGAGTACCCACTTTCAACGACCGCTGGGTACGGGGCCCCGGGAGCCCTGGACCACTTCTGGGGGCCCTGGCTCTGCGTTCCGCCCTGGCTCGTCTCTGGACGGCCCTGGGGGCCAGCCGGGGGCTCCTGGACGCCGCGTGCTGCGAGACTCCACTGCGATGTTTTGGGAACCCCCAAACTGGGTGGTGAGATACCAGGTGGCGACCTGGAATCCCCAAAAAGGTCACCGCTGGGTTTGGGGACGCGGGGTCACCACCGGGTTTTTGTGACTCCTGGACCCACCAGTGTCCGGGACATCCTCGGAAAACCGCACGAGTCCCCAAACCGGGTGGTGACACCAAATCGCGATGCTGTCCCTAACCCTCCTGTGGGTTGGGTCCTCGTTTTGAATCCGCAGCGCCGCGCGCCACCACCTCCACCACCACCACCGCCACTACCACCACCGCCACCTTCTCCTCACCTTCCTCCTCCGCCTCCTCCTCTTTCTCCCTCCTCCTCCTCCTCCTCCTCCTCCTTGCGCTGCCTTCCACATGTCTGTCTCGGCGCACCCCTCCCTCAAACGCTTCGTGCCCCCAGTGGGGGCTCCTTTTAAGGCCCCAGGGGCAGGGCCCGCATGGTTACCAGGCCCATGTCGGCGCACCCTCACACGTTTACAACCAGAGCTCTAATCCCACCAGCCCTCTGGGCGTCGGTGGTTTAAGGAGTTTCCTCTTCCACCCCTCCCTCTTCCCCTTCGGGGAGGGGTTTACCCCTCCCCCTACCCCCTCCCCGCTGACCTGGACAGGGGGTTCCGCGGCGCGTTGGAGCGCCCAATATCGACCCCTGGGAGGGCTAAAATTCGACACCCCTCACGAGGATCGTGGCTCCTGACGGGGGGGGGCTGTAATTTAGGAGCCCCCCTTCGTTGATCGATCTCCTCCAAGATAGCTCCGAGGCCCCCCAAGAGGCCCCCAGGGGGCCCCCAAGAGACCCCCAAGAGGCCCCAAGAGACCCCCGAAAGGCACCCAAGAAGCGCCCAGGAGGCCCCAAGAAGCGCCCAGGAGGCCCCCAAAGGCCCCAAAATGGCCCCAAGAGGCCCCCAGGAGGCCCCAAAGAGGATCCCGAATGGCCCACAGAGGCCCCCCCGAGGCACCCAAGACGCCGAAAAAACCCTCAGGACGACCCTCTACTCGCCTGGGCGTCGTTTCTGGACGGGCTTTTATATATATATATATATATATATATATATATATTATCCCGGCAAAGCAACCTAACAGCGATGTGTAGAAGCATATCTGAAAGCATTCCCCTTAAGATTCAGATGAACATCCAGTTGTCGAATTCTGCTGTTCTCGCAGTCGTAGTCGCATTCGCGATGACAGTCGCAGCGGCAACGGCAGTCGCAGTCACAGCCTCAGCCTCAGCCTGCCTCCTCCTCCTCCTCTTTTTCCTGCTCCTCCTCCTCCTCCTCCTCCTCCTCCTCCTCTTCCTCCTGCTCGTCCTCGTTCTCGTCCTCCTCGTCTTGCTCGTCCTCCTCCTCCTGGTGCTCCTCCTCCTCCTCCTCCTCCTCCTCCTCCTCCTCCTCCTCCTGGTGGTCCTCGTTCTCCTCCTCCTGGTGCTCTCCCCCCCCCTCCTCCTCCTCGTCCTCCTCCTCCTCCTCCTCCTCGTCCTCCTCCTCCTCCTCCTCCTCCTCCTCCTCCTCCTCCTCCTGGTAGTCCTCCCCCTCCCCTCCTCCTCCTCCTCCTCCTCCTTCCTGGTCGTCCTCGTTCTCGTCCTCCTCGTCTTGCTCGTCCTTCTCCTCCTGGTGTTCTCTCCTCCTCCTCCTCCTCTCCTCCTCCTCCTCCTCCTGGTGGTCCTCGTTCTCCTCCTCCTGGTACTCTCCCCCCCCCTCCTCCTCCTCCTCCTCCTCCTCGTCCTCCTCCTCCTCCTCCTCCTCCTCCTCCTCCTCCTCCTCCTCCTCCTCCTCCTGGTACTCCCCCCCTCCTCCTCCTCCTCCTCCTCCTCTTCCTGGTCGTCCTCCTCCTCCTGGTCGTCCTCCTCCTCCTGCTCGTCCTCCTCCTCCTCCTGCTCGTCCTTCTTCTCCTGCTCCTCCTGCTCCTCGTCCTGCTCCTGCTCGTCCTCGTCCTCCTGGTCTTGCTCGTCCTCCTCCTCGTCGTGCTCTTGCCCCTGCTGAAAATGTGGCCCAGGAATGGGAGTTCTGGGAAGTCGAAGAGCACGAAGTTGCCTACAGTTGGCTACGGGCATTCAAAATGTGGCCCGGGAATGGAGTTCTGGGAACTCGAAGAGCACGAAGTGGCCTACAGTTGGCTCCGGGCATTCAAAATGTGGCCCGGGAATGGAGTTCTGGGAAATCGAAGAGCACGAAGTGGCCTACAGTTGGCTCCGGGCATTCAAAATGTGGCCCGGGAATGGAGTTCTGGGAAATAGAAGAGCACGAAGTGGCCTACAGTTGGCTCCGGGCATCCAAAATGTGGCCCGGGAATGGCGTTCTGGGAACTCGAAGAGCACGAAGTGTGTGACTGTTGCATCCGGCCCCCCAGAATGTGGCCCGGGAATGGCGTTCTGGGATGTCGAAGAGCACTTTGTGTGTGACTGTTGCATCCGGCCCCCCAGAATGTGGCCTGGGAATGGAGTTCTGGGAAGGCGAAGAGCACGAAGTGTGTGACTGTTGGTGAAAAACGAGCCCGGCTCATGCCGCCCGGAAACGCCCCAACACCTGCCCGGACCCCCCTGTGGAGTGATCTGTGAGCTCTTTTGAGACCACTAGAAACCTATCAGTCTTCGCTGTTAGGTAAAAAAAAAACAGCCGCAGGCGGAAGCGCCCGCGGCGGAAGGTCGCGAACGGGCCGCGGACGCGACTAAATTACCTAACGCGCGCAGGGCCGCGGATCAGGCGGCTCACGACAGCGTCCAGGGGGGCGAGGCCGATGCAATCCAGGTGCCATGACAGCCCCTGAACGGGCATGCAGGTGCGTCCAACGGGCCTGAGGTAGGCACCGAGACGACCTAGCGCAGCCAAAATGGCGCGATAACGTTCCAACGTCCAGGTGCGGACAAGGGAACGACCCGAGGACGTCAGCCCCAGCCTGTCGGGTAGCACAGACGACGGGGAGGTAAGTCCAGCGAGGATCCCGACGGCGGCAGCGAGCCGCGGCGCCAGAACGGCATCAAGGTGTAACTGGTGGGGATACGCGAAGCGTCTAGAATTCTTGAGCTTCAGCTCTAGTGGCCGGGGTGGCTTTGCCGGGGTAGGGGGACGGGGGGGTCGATTGAATTCCCGGGGCGGGATCGGAGCTCCAGCGCAGTCTGGGGCGGCCCCCTCGCCCGGGAGGGCCCAAGCATGGGCCAAGAGGGCCCCGAGTCGCCGAACGATCGCTACGGGGCGCCCAGGATGCCCCCGAGCCTGGTCCAGAAACCTCCAGGATGCCCTCAGATCAGGGGGACGTAAGACCTGGGTACAGGGGACTCGGAAATCCCCGACGAGGTCGTCAAAAAAATGACGAGGCCGAGCCTGCATTTTGACGAGGCCTCCCGCTGCAGACATCCCACGAAACTCCTGCTCGTCAAAATCCGAGTCGCGGTCGTCAAAAAACGATGGCGAACCCGAGTCCTGGCAAACCCGGGTGTTACGCTCCCCCGATCCAAGATGCCCTCAGAAGACCTGAAAAAAAAACCTCCCGAAAAAGGCCAAAATAAACAACACATGTCCAATTCCCTATGGCAAGCGTGCAATTGTAGCCGGCTCGCCTCTCGGGCCTTCAGAGCGTCGCATACGCCTCAAGAGAGCCCCAAAACGGCCCAAGAAGCTGCCAAGAGGGTTCCAAGACTGCCCCGGGCCCAAAATGGCTCAGGAAGCCGGCGGAAAAAACCCAAGAGGGCCCAAGGACGGACCCAAGAGGCGCATGAGAGGCGCCAAGACGGCGGAAGAAATGCCGAAGGCGGCCGTATAAACCCCCAGCAGGCCCCCAGAGGCCCCCACGAAACCTTAAGAGGCCCCACGACGCCTCCAACGGGCCCCGAAGAGGCTCCCTGAAGCCCTCCAAGGCCTCCAAGAATGTCACACATGCACCCAAGACGCCTTCGAGAGGCCTCCAAGCTACTTCCAAGACTCCCCCCTCGAGACGCCTCCAAGCTGTTTCCACGGCGCTTACGTCTGAACACAAGCGCTACAATACAAAAAGGTTCGTCTACGCACTCACATATTATCCCGTCTTCGGTGTCCTTCACATCCATGACCTAACAAAAGGGCCTGCAGATGACCGCGCGAAGGCCCCAGAGACCCCTAAAGCCATGGTTCCCAGCAGAGACAGAGTGAGTGCGCCAAATCGGCGAGGTGCCAACCCGAAGAGGGCCAACACCTGGCCCCAAAGAGGCTTTCCAACAACCGCAGAACACCTCCAACAACCGCCGAAAATCTCCTCATCCTCGTCATGCTCCTCCTTCTCCCCCTCCCCCTCTTCCACTTTCCGCTTCCTCCTGCTCCTCCTCATCCTCAGCATCCTGCTACTCCTGCCCCTCCCCCCCCACCCCCTCCCACCTCATCATGATCCTCCTTCCCCTCCTCATCCTACTCCGTTGCCTCCATTCCCAATTCTCATCATCCTCACCGCTCGCCGTCGTCGCTGGTCTCGTGTGCTTCCGGCAGCAACGGAAGCGTCCCGGATCGGCGGCACTGGCCGTAGGCCACTACAATAGCTCTACATCCACATGGTCACCTGGCCAATTTCGCGCACCCCTCAAGCGCATCGTGCCCCCATGAGGACTTCCGCTTCAGGCCCCAGCGACAGGACCCGCATGTTTGCCCAGCCCATTTCAGGGCACACCTCACACGCTTTTTGGTCGCAAAGGTAGGAAGCTCTACGGCAAGGTCCGCATGACTACCCGCCCAATTTCGGCGCACCCCTCACACGCTTTGTAGTCCCCTGAAAAGCCCCTAAGAAAACCCAAGTGGCAAGATCCGCATGGTTACCCGGCCAATTTCGGCGCACACCTCACACGCTTCGTGACCTCATACAGAGCTCCACCGAAGGCCCAAGTGGCTGCGGTTGCATCTAGGGCTCCCAACTTCGCGCTTCGCGCTGCGCGAAGCGCGAATAACTTCGCGCTCTCGCGCCGCCCTCCCAAAGGGAGAATAGGAGGACGAGGAGGAGGGGGAGAAGGAACGAGGACCGCGAAGCGCGAAGCGCGAATAACTTCGCGCCCTCGGGGGAGCCCTTGTTGCATGGGGCCCCGCTAGATTTGGGCACACCCCTCACGCCTTCAGCGTGGTTCGACGCTCTCCGCGAAGCGCAGTGCTCCCGCGCACTGAAGGGTCCTGCTTCTAGTTGCCACGGCTTGCAAAAAAAAAGATGGTCGGGCTCTTCGACGGGCTAACGCTTCGATGCTGGAGGAGCAGCATCAGCGGCGAGGTGGGCCCTGGAGGCCGAAGCGGCGAGGACAAGAAACGACAGAACGACGCCGCGGTGGAAGAGCTCTTCTCGTCGCAGCGAACGACGGATGAGAGGAGGAGGAGGAGGAGGAGGAGGAGGAGGAGGAGAGGGACGAGGAGGGAGGAGGAGGAGGAGGAGGAGGAGGAGAGGAGGAGGAGGAGGGGGCCCACTCGTCGTAGCCGATCTCCCCGTCCCCGTCCACGTCCAGGAGGTTGCTGAAGTCCGCGGCTGGCCTGGTGGCGGCCCGCCCCTCAGGGCCACGGCTCAAGCCTCGCCGCCCCGGCTGCAAACCACCTCCCCTCGGCCGGCCTCCCCTGACCCTTTTCTCCTGCCCCTGCTCCTGCTCCCGCTCCTCCTCGTTGAGTAACTACCAAGCAATCGGGACCGAACCCACCGCGTCCCCCGACGGTGGTCAGAGTTGGCTGCATCATGTGTCACGGTGTTGCTGTCATGTAATGCTTTCGGCCGGCGCACAGTTTTACGCTTTCGTCGCGCAGCGATGCAACAAATGTTGCGTTTTGTTGCGCGTCTGGCAATTGCGTACCCAATTATTTACGAGGAGGAGGAGGAGTCCTCGTCCTCCTCGTCCTCCTCCTCCTCCTTCACCCCCCCTGCCCCCCGAACTTCCAGGTCATTAGGTCATTGAAAAACACAGCGGATTGGATCCGTCATTTAGGGCGTCTGTGCGTCCTCGCCAGGCCCCGGAACTGCTAAAAGCAGCAATGGAGAACGGAACACAGATCATCCTTAGAAACTGGCGCAGAGCTCCAGGGACCCCGTATCGAAAAAATCTGAACATCGGAGGTCTGGGCCCATCTCCCCCCTCCCCCTCCTCCTCCTCCTCCTCCTCCTCCTCTTCTTCTTCTTCTTCTTATTCTTTTTCTTCTTCTTCTTCTCAGTATTAGTATTCTTCCTCATCGTCATCGTCGTCGTCATCGTCGTCGCCATCGTCATCGCCGCCGTCGTCCTCCGCCTCCTCGTCCTCCTCCTCCTCCTCCTCCTCTTCTTCTTCCGCCTCCTCGTCCTCCTCCTCCTCCTTCGTCCTCCGCCTCCTCCTCCTCCTCCTCTTCCTCCCCCCTCCTCCTCCTCCTCCTCCTCCGCTCAAGCACTCTGGCACGAGCGCGCCATTTTGGCTTCGCACTCGGCCAGCCCCACGCCGCCACGAGGTGCTTGGGGGACGGCGGGTCGTCCGCGCGCCAGAGCGCAGCAGATCCCGTCGACGAAAGTGGGGACACAGCACACAGCACACGAGATCCCAGGGCCATGGCGAACCCTTGGAGCACGTGTGCGGGATGCGGCACGCATGAGTTCAACGCCAAGCTCTCGGCAAACGGGTTCAAGTGCCGCGTCTGCAACAGGCCCGTGAAGCTCTATGTCCCCAAGGGAGAGAAGAGCAAGGGCAAGGACAGGGGCAACGGCAAAGACACGCAGCTCGAGCGGGAGGTCAAGCCGGCGCCCAAGGGGAGCATCGGCGCCGAGGCCGCCACGCAGCAGACGGTCGTCGCGCTGTCGGGGGCCCTGGCAGTCGTCAAGGATCCCAAGGTGCGGCAGATTCTCGAGGAGCAGCTGAAGCAGTCCCAGCAGGCGGCGGCAGCGGCAGGCCAGCCTTTGGGGGCCGAGGAGGCCGTCCGCCGCGCAGCTGGGGCGTGGCGCGATGCCAGCGCAAAATACCAGCAGGCAGCGCAGCAGGTGAAGCGGTTGGAGCAGAACCTGAGCGTCGCCAGGGAGAAGGAGTCGGAGGCAGCGCGCGTGCTCGCCCTGGCGGAGATCAACCGCCGAGGCGCTGCGCAGGCCCTGGCGAAGGAGACAGGCGCGGTCGTGGAGTCGCCCGCCGCCAAGACGGCCGAGCCGATCTTCAACCTCACGTGGGACACCGAGTTCTTCCAGCAACTGGACGAGCTTGAGTGCAGCGCAGAGGAGAAAGAGGAGCTCCGCAAAGTTGAGGCGGAGCTGAAGGCGGTGCAGCAGTCAGTGCTTAGCAAGGCCGAGGAGATCACCAAGTGGCGCGACAACGTCGAGTCCTTGAAGAAGCAGGTCGCGGAGCGCATCAAGAAGAGGAGGCGCTGCGGGGCTGCTGACGGGACCGAGGCTGCGCCCGCAGGGCCACCTGGGAGCTGTCCTCCTGCAGGTGGCGGAGCGGCCGCCACAGCCGCTCCCTCGGCTGGCGGAGCGGCCGCGGCCGCGGGCGCAGCAGCGGTGGGCGCGCGCGACGGCCCTGGTGCCACGGGGGTCGCAGCGACGCCAGGCAGCCCGTCCGAGGCCGAGATCGAGGCGGAGATGGCCAAGATCAGGGCCGCAGCGGCAGCTGGGCAGGAGGCGGCTGAGGCCGCCAGCAAAGTGAGTCAGTGACGAGCACTTAGTGGAGGTGGCGTTTTTGCGGCGGCGCAGCCTTCACCTTCCTCGGAGTCGCTTGAGCAGGAGGCAGTTTTAGCGGCGGCTCCTCTTCGCTCTTCTTTCTCATCGGAGTCGTCAGGTGCCCCGTCGAGTTCATTGGCAGCGGGCGGAGCACCTTTGTCATCGTCGGAGGCGCAGGAGGTTTCAGAGGTCAGGATGTTCTTCGGCAACATCACCTGCCTCGGGAAGAAGTCATGGCCTTTCCTCAGCTCGGGGGCCACCATGTCCAGGTACGATCTCATCGGGGCCGTCGAGACTCACGCAGGGTGCCACACTCGTACGCAGTGGGCGAAGAAGTCTCGGCTTTGCAAGTGGAAGTTCCTGGACAACATGGCCAGAAACACAGGGAAGGGCACCGGCGCGGCCGCAGTCCAGAGAGCCAACGAAGGGGGCGAGGCACTCTGGGCGCCAGGCCACCGCAATGTGCATCGTTTGTTTGCCAAGGCGTCCGAAGTGACGTCACTGTGCGCTGATGGAGCTGACGCTTTCGACGGATTTATGCCGTCAGTGGTGCACTGCCAAGGCTACTCTTTAGTCTTGATTCTTTTTTATGCGCACCCCTCGCAGGGATTCGGGGGTGCCAACACGCAGCGTTTCGGAAAATTGGGAGCTCTTCTCCAGATGCTACAGTTGCCTTGGATAGTGATCGGAGATTTCAACAGTGGAGTTGACACCTTTCGCAAGTCCAACTTTGTTAGGCGCGTAGGGGGTCACATCAAGCAGTCGGAAGTGGACTACACTTGCGTCGGGAGTGCAGGTAGTACGCATATCGATTTTGTGATGTCGTCTGAGAATGCGTTGCCGTATATTAAGTCTCTTGAAGCTAGATCCGATGTCCCGTGGGGGCCACATGTAGGTTTGGAGCTCACACTTCACGGTTCTGGTGAGCAATTACTGCAGCGTTCTCTCGTCACCGCCCCGCGCCTGCCGCAGGTCCCACGCCCGAGCATCAGTCCCGTGGCAGGGTCGAAGTCGAGCAAGGCGCGTGCGGAGCAGCAGGTTCGGTCACAGATTGCCCAAGACAGGATACGAGCCGACTGTGACGAGATTTTTTCAGATGTTTTTGTTTCAAAAGCTGGCCCCTCTGGCGAACCCACTCAGGACGGTCCCGATCCCCCCGAGGGTCCGAACCCCCAGGAGGTGGCTGAGCCCAGAAGCGGCTCGGACGATTTCGGGAACCTTGTCGAGTTCGGGGCCTTCGAGGATGAGGAGGAGGACCCGTGGGCGTCAGAATCATGCTTTCGGCCAGCTTGCAACCAGGATGCGTGTGATCTAGGAGCCTTTGTTGAATCTGGCGAGTCCGCGCAGCATGAAAGGTCTCCTGTAATTGGCGAAGTTTTGAGGGATGTCTCTGCGGTCCCCACTGTCGAGCGTCCTGGGGGCTCGGGCGTCAGCACGGCTGGCGGTCAGATTGATCCGCCCTCGTCTGCCGATGCCGCTGCGGCCGCCCTTCCCTCTTTCGCCATCCCCCCTTCCACCTGGGCAGCCGTTGCGGCTCAAACTCCGTGGCTTTCACACTCCCTTGAGGACGTCTGGAACCCCATCAGACGGTCCCTCGCTTTCTCGGCAGGGCAGCGCCACATCCTGCCTATCAGCAGTTGCTTCGCCCGATGGGTGACCACGGTCGAGGGCGCGATTGCGGCTCATCGCGGAGGGGCGGCACCAATGCAGTCGAGGGCCAACGGCGTTCAGTTGGTCGTCGGCCCAGTCAGGGAGCCAGAGCGAGTCAGGTCGCAGCCGCTACGCGATGGTGCGGCAGCATGGTGGAGCAGAGGACATTCGATCCTCAAACAGGCGTGTCGACATCGGCGGCGTAACAACGGCAGCTTGCAGATGGGGCATCTTGCGCAAGCAGCGTTGGGTTTAGCGGATCAGCCGTTAGACGGAGCAGGTTCATGTTTTGCAGGCGTGCTCGGGCTCAGCTGGGCCCAATTCCTTGCAGCACTGCGGAGCTTGCAGGCTCAGTCCCTGGACGAGCTCGTTCTGCTGGAGGAGGTGGCGTTCAAATCGGCGAGGAGAGCGCAGAATCGTGCAGCTTCGGCGTCTCTTCGCGACTTTCAGAGTTGGATTGGCTCGGTGGACAGTTTGGGCGCAGTTCACAGGTCCATCAAAGATCTGGCTCCAGGGGTGGACGAGTATCACATCGGGGATAAGAAGCTGGTGCACCCGCTGGAGATTGTTAACTGCAAAATATATCGGTGGCATCAGTTGTGGTCCTCCAAAGTGTCAGAGCACGACGACATTATGCGGGCGTGTGACATGATTCGTGAGCACGCTGGGGTGGAGCAGCTGGTACCCCTCTCCATCGAGGAGGTCAGTGGAGCCCTGGCCAAGATGAAGCCCCGCGCGGGGCAAGGGGTGGACAGGCTGTCTCCCTCGGACTTCAGTCGCTTGCCAGACCAGGCCATCAGTAACCTTGTGGAGCTGTTCACGATGATCGAGCAGGGCATCAGCTGGCCGTGGCAGGTGCTGTGCGTGCTGGGGCGTCTGCTCGGCAAAAAGTCGGGTGGGGATCGGTGCATCGGGCTGCTCGGCATGCTGTGCAGAGTATGGTCGCTCGCACGGGAGCCGCTGGTGCGAGGCTGGGCCGACCAGCAGGATGATTATTGGGATGCTGCCCTCGCGGGGAATAGCGCCCTGAGGGAGGCTTTCGTGCGGGCGCTGGAGGACGAGGTACAGACCTCCCTGCGCCTGCCCCATGGGCAGGCCCTGCTGGACGTGGAGGCCTTCTACGACGGCATCGAATGGCCCATCCTGGCGGAGTGTGCGATCAGGAAAGGCTATCCTCCAGTAGTGTTGTTTTTGGAGGTGCAGTTGTTCATGGCGCCTAGGTTATTGTCTCAGCTGGACTCGTACTCGTTACCATTCCAGGCCACGAAGTCGGTCATTCAAGGATCGCGCAGTGGCACTCGATTTGCAAAATGTATCACAGCAGTTGTATGCGAGAAGTTGGCGATTGCTCACCCGTCAATGTCTCAGAGGATTTGGATCGACGGCTTGCTGGGGCGCGCGTCGGGCAGGCGTGAACATGTCCGTGGCACTCTGGTGAAGGCGGTCACTACCACGGTGAAGGAGTTTCGGAGGCTCAAGCTGGGCATCGCGGCAAAGAGTGTGGTGGTGTGCTCCATCCACCAGGACGCGGTGCAAATAGCTCGGAGGTTGCGTCGTCTCGGCATCGAGGTTTCCCCTGTGCAGCAAGCCGCTTACCTTGGGATCGATCTCGCGGGAGGACGTCGCCACGGTAGGGACACAGCGCGGAAGCGCGTGAAGAAGTCAGGGACGTCACACCAACGGCTTCGACGTTTTGCAGCAGCTGCGAGACGGTGGTCGACCACGAGCATGATCCAGAGGACGGGCCCTCAAGCATCGGCCTCATATGGCCACCAGGTCTTGGGCTGCTTTGGGTCGGTGATGCTGAGTCACAGGCGATGGTTAGGAGCTGCAGCGGGGTCGCACAAGCGGGGGCGCTGCTTGACATCTCTGTTAGCTCTACGGTTGCCAGGAGCGGATCCAGGAGTGGTGCTGCCGAGGCTTTGCATCACGCAGTGGCTTGATTGTTGGTTGCGAGAACCACGACTTCGTCCGTCCATTCGGTTGGCGTGGTCTCGCACGGTGGATAAGCTAAGCCTTGTCCCTGCTGGGCAGCGGAGTCGTCACGTTCGCGGGCCAATGTCTTCAGAAGTGTTGTATTTGTTACAAGCTGGATGGATCTTGAAGTCTGCTACGGAGTGGCAGGTGCCGAGTGACGGGAGCAATATGGAGCATACTTGGGAGTTTTCCACAGATGCTTTTGTTGGCCTGGACCAGGCTCGGCCACTTCTGCAGGAGTTCGAGGACACATTGTACAGACAACTCTGGGAAGAGGCAGCTGGCTTGTTTTGTGGCGGCGGCCTAGAGCAGGGAGCTGATTGGCAGAGCTACCGTGCCTACATCGCGATGCTCCTCCACGCCAAGAAGGGCCGTCAGCTGTCGGAGTTGATGGTGACCATCGCCACGGGCGGCTACTGGACGCAGGAGCGTAAATTTTCGGCCAACCTCAGCAACTCCGACCAGTGCGAGCGGTTCGAGGAGGCGGTCGACACGCCTCTGCACCGCAATGGGTTGTGCAGTAAAAACCAGGGGTCAGCAGCATATGCCCAATCCGATTGTCTGGCCGTGGAGGCTCAGGCAGAACATGAAGCGTGCCCGTGCTTTTGGATGAGGGGTGTGATCCCCAGTGAGTGGACCCGCGTTACTGCTCCTGCTCAGGAAGAAGTTTTTTTCGGAAGGAATCTCCCCGAGGGGCGTCTCGGTCCTGGGTGTCTCGGCCAAGGGACTCGGGACCAGCCGTTGTACGTCTTCGGGGACGCCTCGGGGGGAAAAGATACCCATGATAGTAGGTTGCGTAGAGTAGGGTGTGCGGTTGCCACGTTTACTAGCTTTGTGCCTTGTGAGCTCGGTCCGTTTTTGTTTGGACCTCTGGTGGGGTCGGCCCAAACGGTCCCCAGGGGTGAAGTTCAGGCTTTCGAATGGACCATTCGATTCACGACTGGACCCATAGTTTACATCACTGACTGTGCCGAGGTCGCCCGAGGGTGGTATGCGTCTACGAGTGCCAGCCCTGAGGGCCCTCAGGCAGATTTGTGGCGCAGCATCGGTCTCACCCTCGCTGCTCAGGACAGGAGTGCTAGTGATATTGTTGTCTTGCAGGTCCCATCCCATTTGTCGTCCAGCGAGGTCCTCCAGCGTGGGTGGGACAGCTGGCTTGTGATAGGGAACGCGTGTGTTGATGTGCTTGCGGGGTCGGCCGCCACTTTGGCCAGGGTCCCCGAGACCGACAGGTTCCGAGTGCACCAAGTCGAACGCAAAGCGAGACTAGTCAGGAGGCGTCTTCTTAGAGTAGGGTTGGATTGTATTCAGACTTCCCAGGCCATCAAGGCCAACGATGGGGTTCCCCTGGTTCCGCCTGGCCCCACTGCTCCTCGGCCTCCTCCTCCTCTCGCCCTCGCCCGTTTCGCTTCTGCCCACACCCTGACCGAAAATGGCAGAGCGTGCTCGGTTTGTTTCAGTTCGTGTTCCAAAGATAAAGAGTCCGAATGGTTGAAAAGCGCTTGCAACCCTCCCCTGCCTGTGAATGACAAGTTATCCCGAGCCCCCCTTGGACGGAGTTTACACTTGGCAGGTGGCTGGACGCATCCCTCACACGCCCTTCGGTATCACAAAGACCTTGGATTATGGTTTTGTGGGTCGTGCGGATTTTTCGGTCAGGCCCAGCTCAGGGGCTTAGGTAATCCTTGTCGCCCCCACCTAATCACCAAGGCCAGGCGCGAGTATTTGAATCGAATCGATCGCGACCTGTTTCCCAAGTGCTGAGCTCAGCCTTCTTATCACTACGTGATGGCGGAAATCCTGGAAATCCTCCTCCTCCTCCTCCTCCCCCTCCTCCTCCTCCTCCGCCTCCTCGTCCAGGCGTGCGTTGGCCAACCGCGGGGCCTGATCCTCACCGACTTCCGGGGGCTCCCGCCGGCCCTGCCCGGGCTCGGGCTGCGGAGGGTGCTCCGCATGCCGCCCCCGCGGGGCCCCCGGGCGCGGCCGGGGGGGGGGGGGGGGGCGCGGGCGCTTGAGGCACCTGGGGGGGAAGGAGGAGGGGGGAGAGAGGGAGGGGAGGACAGGGAGGGGAGGGGGAGGGGAGGGGGAGGGGAGGGGAGACAGGGAGGGGAGGGGGAGGGGAGGGAGGGGAGACAGGGGGTGGGGGCGCGGGCGCTCGAGGCACCCTGGGGGGGGGGGAGGGGAGGGGAGACAGGGAGGGGAGAGGAGATGAGAAGGATCGGCGGTGGACAAACCTCCCTTTAGTAGACCTCCCCTTGGTGAAAACGGCCTGGGACCGAAGTCGACGGACCTGGACCCGCAAAAATGACGGCCGCGACGCCTTCTCGCGAAACGAAAACGGCCAATTCCTAAATCGACGTGTCAGGGTAGGAGGTCTGTCCACCCCCGAAAGGAGCGCTGCTGCCCTGGGCGGCAAAGCCAGGCAATTACTCGAGCAGTCATTATCCCACATAGGAGCGGCCAGCGATGTACATGAGCTGCTACCAAGGGCTGCGGCTCGCTGGAAACTGATGTGTGGAAGGCGCTGCTGCCTTGGGCAACAGTACGACACAACGAAATACTCGAGCTGTCGTTGTGCCAGAAAATGCTTGAACGACAATGAACGTTATTGGTTGGCGCATGACCCTGACTTGGACGGTCATGTCGCATTGGCACCAACATCCTAACTTCGCGCTCTCGCGCCGCCCCCCAGGGGAGAAGAGGACGAGGACTTGGAGTCGAAGCGCGAAGCGCGAATAGCTTCGCGCCCTCGAGGGCCCCCCTGGCTTCAGCAGTGCTTCCTTCTCCGACGGAAGCCGCGCCGATCAGCCCGACCCCCATCGGTGACCTGCCACAAGTGCAAACTTGGGTGCCCAGCCAACCCCCGCAGGCGGCGGCACTGATCAAGCACGCCGGATGGGTGCCACCCTTGCGCGCGGAAGAGGAGGAGCAAGGCGAGCCCTTGACACACATATCCTGCACAAGAGAGGCACGCCGAGCTCGAATCTAGTCCGGGAAACATCCGCTCAGATTGCGGAGGAGTCGGTGAGGATCCTCATGTGCGCACTCTCGTCGCTCGTAGGCTGCTTGGTCGAATTCAAGCACCCACGGTAGGCGCTCGGTGCGTAAAGTAAGACGCCCACCCCGCGCACGAACACGCGGCTGCGCGCCGCGGACTGTCGTCCCAACCCGGAGTTCTTGGTCACGACGTGCGCATTGCAAAAAGTCCCCAGCCACTTCTCGCCGACGACGTACAGCGTGCCCGCAGCCCCCTGCGTCGCGTAGAAGTCCACGGTGCCCTCGTGCGTGAAGAGCGTGTCGTCGTATTCTGGCCATTTTTTCCAAGCGCGCATCCGACTGATCCGCTGCCCCTCCAAGGGTGTTCAGAAGCTCCGGCATCAGGCCAAGGTGCGGCCTCAAATCACACATGGACCGGCACGCCCAAAATAACACTTCAACTCGGTTATTTCCCCCTGGGGCCGCCCGCTGAAGCAAAAGACATGACGTGAGAGGCCCCACGGATGACCACGTAAACTTGAATGCCAAGTACATGCGAAGAGAAACGGGGAGGAGGAGGAGGAGGAAGAGGAGGAGGAGGAGGAGGAGGAAAAGGAGGAGGAGGGGAAGGAGGAGGGGGAGGAGGAGGACCGGCAGGAGGAAGAGAGAGGAGAGGGAAAGCCTGATACGAAAGTGCCAGAATTCGTATCAGCTACTTCCGCGCAGTGCACGGCGGAGAAAATAACAAGTCTCATATTCCCTCCTGTACGCCACGCAACTGGGACGTAGACACCCAAAGCACATTGTCCCCAACGTTATGATGCCGAATAAAAGCATGAATTGTGTAACAGCTGTACACATGGAGTGAAACGGCCTTGTGGGAGGAGTTGGAAGGAGAACAAAATAAGAAATGGCGGAACGACCGATTGCATAAATCAAGGTGCAAATAACGACGGCTTGCCTCTAAGAAGACAAGACAACACCAAGAATGCTCGATCGAATCGGAGACTGAAGTATTGCAACGTACTTTTTCGTCTGCAGGCCCGCGGAGCAAGTCGAAAACCGTCCGATCACTAGCCGGGCCGCGATTGGGCAGCAGGAAAAGAGAGGGGCAAGCGAAACGAGCGCGCGGGCAGCCACTCAGAAGGAGCACCGGGAGCGGCACTCCAAACCCGGTGACGTGGAAATCCCATGGCAACCATCAAATAAACGCAGCCAAAATAGCGCGGCGGCGCGACCGTTTTGCAAAATGCGCATGGGGTTTCCTTTTGGAAGCGCCGGGCGGTTGTCCAGCCATTGAAAAGAGTATGGACACAGGCAGACAAGGCACACGGAAAAACCTGGCGCCGCAATCTGGACATGTTGCTGGCAGAACACTCCGCGCAGACGCGCAGCTCACGTGAAAACAAGCCTCTGGTTCGAGACGTCCTCAACAAATCCTCATGCTAGACATCTGTCTGGGCAACCTGGAGGCGTGAAACCAAGCGTCTCGCTCGAGACATCCTCAAGACCTGGGCACGCGAAAACAAACATTTCACTTGAGAGATCCTCTGAATTCGGGCCCCCAGAAGAGGACAATCTATAACGCACAAAAAAAGCTTCGCTCGATATATCCTCAACAAATTGTGAAACAACAAGGACGTTTCGCGTGAGACATCCTCAAGAATAATTCCGCCGGCCCTCTTCGACCTCGTTATTGATCGCAAACAGTTCAGCCGGCCCCTTTCAAGTCAAAAAGAGAACCCTGGGGCGCAGCCCTTTCCGGGACGAGTGCAACGGTCTCACCTCCGCAGAACGCCCCTTGCCGCATGCCTCCGTCGCCGCCGGCGCCGGTTGACCCCGCGTTCGCTGTGCGCGACTAGCTCCAGGAACGAAGGGGGGGAAGGGGGGGGGAGGGCAGAAGGGGGGGGGGGGGGCAGGGGCAAAGGCCAGGCGCGGGGCGGAGCTGCGGTCGTGCTTCTTTGTGTGTTCGACGCGTCTTTTCCCCCCTCAATGCCCTAACCGCGGCGCGGCTTGGGCGGTTTCGGCCCGGCGGCGGCCAATATCTCGATCTCCATGGTGCCGGTGCTGGTGGTGATCAGCTCCGCGAAGTCGTGCTCGGCCGACAGGGGCACCCACCTCATCTTTGTTGTGCATCGACCAGCCCGGCGCGGCGACCGACATCGGCCATCGCGCGCGCAGGCGCTCCTCCTCGGCCCCCATCTCGATGGGCGCCGCGCAGATGCCTTTCGGCGCGCTCTCGATCGCCATCCGGGGCGGGCCGCCGGCCGTGAAGGCCGACGCATTGTTCGTCGCGCCCTCAGCCGCGACATTCGCCCTGATCCTGTCCAGGACCGTCTTGTTGCAGTGCTCCACCTCGAGGGTGATGAGCGGGCCGGCAGAATGCACCTTGCCCGGCAGCTCGTCGGTTCCGCCTTCGCGAGAACGCAGGCGGGCCAGCTTGTCCATGCCCTCGTAGAACTCCTTCATGCTCGTGGTCCTGCCTTTCCACGCAGCAATGTTGTTGCTGGGGGGGGCGCCCAACTTCTGCGCCGACTTCTGCATGTTCGCCGTGGAAGTCTGCAGGCGGCCCCACATGATCATGCCGTCGTTGGCTTCTCTCTCCCCCATCGGGGCTCTGGCCGCGGGGGCGGCCGCCCCGGCGAAGGTGCCCCTGAGGGTCGAGCGTCTGTTTTGTGCCCGCTGGTGGCTGAGATTCCCGTGTCTCTTCCTGCTTGGCCTCCTCCTGGTGGCCTGCCTGGTAGTTGTGCGCCGCCGTCTGCGCGTCCGTCTTCCAAGCCGCCGCTTGGGACTTCGCTCGCTGGAGCGTCACCGCCGAAGGTTTCGGCCCGTGCTCTCAGCGGGGGGCCGGGGAAGTCCGGGCCGCTCTGCCCAAAGGCGTGGTCCGCGTCCGAAGGCGAGCAAGAAGGCCCCAGGAGTTGAGGCCATGGCGCGCCGCGCAAACTCTGGCGGCACGGCGATGCCCGTGCGAATTCAACATGCAACTCGAGCCGCGCGCGACTATAAACCCGTATAAATTATACAATATTCGTGAAGTCGAAGCCAGAAACCTGCGTAGGTTACGCTATATGCGCCCCCGAAGCCATGCACCTGAGCAAATTATTTTCTATTCGCGCATCCGAAACCATAGACTCTGAAATTGCACTATATTCGCGTCTCCAAAGCCATCGACCCCTACAAACGTTAAAATTACGCTATATTCGCGCCCCCGACGCCATGAACCCCGGTAAATTACGCACCCGAGAACATCAACCCACGCTAATGACTTAATATTCGCGCCCCCGAAAGCCATAAAACCATTGGAAAATTACGCGATGCTCGCACAAGCCCTCGGACATTACGTAATATTCGCGCCCCCGAGGCTATGCAACCTAGCAAATAGGATGCGCCTCTTGCCAATTGCCCTCGCATGAGGTTCCGACATTGTTTCGCGACGGCGCCGAACAAATATAGCTCCGGCGCGCCCCGCTATGATTGAAAGGGGGCCAGCGGCAGGGGGCGAGGCCCTTGCGGATATCATGGATATAGGGTGGATTGCCCAACGCGGAGTGCGTCGCAGTGCAAGATGTGCACCTGGCGGGATCGACCGAGAATGCAAGCAGGATTGTGAGAGCGCGCGAGAGCATGAGCACGTCGACGCGCGTCTCTCGACGCGCGCCCGCGGGGGGCAGGACACGCGATGCGAGCTCAACCGCTGGGTTCCACGAGGCTCAATTGCCCTGAGGAGCGGGGGCGCCGCGCGAGCTCAACCGCAGGATCCCTCGAGGCTCAACTGCCCCGAGGAGCGGGGGCGCCCGCGGCGCCGCCGCCCCCCCCCCCCGGCGCGAGACCGCACGAGAGAAGGAAACAATAAGAAGGATATAAAGCGAAATATTGCCCCCGCCCACAATGGGCTGCGCTTAACGATTAGGGGTCGCGCCGGCCCCGCCCAAAATTGGCTGCTCTTCTCGACGCGGGCCAGCTTCTGGCCGCGTCGAGC